ATATAATACTTTGCATCTTCCTTGCTCCTGTAACTGAAAAATCTGGTTATTTTAAATAGTGAATCATACTTTGATTATCCTCCTTAATATAATCAACCATTATACTTAATGGTATAAAGTATACTATTAAACTATAGCTTAAACCATGGTTTAAGCTATAGTTGGAGAATCTTTCTCTGTTAAGGCATGAAAAGGCTAATAATAAATAAAATGAAAATTCATGCACTATGGATAAAAGAAGATTTTCTAACTATTTCAAAGGACTCTCTGTACATGTAAACTTGGGTTCCTATGTAATCAAGGAACCTCAGATGTGCATTTTCCACTGGTTTCTGACAATATATATATCTTAGCAAGAGACAACTTGTAGATCTGCCAGATTTATACTCTCACTCTTTCCCAAATGGTCTTTCTAAAGTGCCAAAATTTATCCCCAACTCAACTTTACCATACTTGCTTATTTATAAGATTAAAATATCTGTCCATCTTGTAGAACACATTCTAGGTGGCTCACAATAACTATAAAACCAGAAACAAGAAAAACTAGAAAATGAGGCACCTAACCCAGTATTACCAATCCACCAAATCATACATTCCTTAAGCTTTCACCTCAGTCTATCCCAGCCAGGGGTGAAATCTAAAATCTGGTTCTGTGGGCATGGATTGGGGGGGGGGGTAATGTGACTGGGTGGGCATGGCCAACTTTTTTTTTTTAACTTTTAAAAGCATTTTTTTCTACAATCTCTTCGGCCAAAGAGGTTGCAGAAAAAAATGCTTTTAGAAGCCTCTGATGATCAGGCAACTCAGCTGGGATTGCCAGAGGCTTTTAAAGGCATTTTTTTCCTACAACCTCTTCAACCAAAGAGGTTGTAGAAAAAATGCTTTTAAGAGCCTCTGATAATTCCAGCTGAGCCGCACGATCATCAGAGGCTTTTTTTTTACTTTTAAAAGCATTTTTTTGGCTGAAGAGGTTGTAGAAAAAATGCTTTTAAAAGTAAAAAAACCCAGCCTCTGATGATCGCGTGGCTCAGTTGGGCATGGGGGAATGCAGGGATTTTTGCTACTGGTTCCCCGAACCACCTGCCGCCATTGCTACCGGATCAGGCGATCCGGTCCGAACTGGGAGCATTTCACTCCTGATCCCAGCGCATACAGGAAAAAACACTTCTTACAGGTTTTTTGAAAAATGAAAGTTTGGGGAGCAGAAAATTACAGGTCTAGGATGGTTGCATTTTTCCGGTTGAAACGATGCTTAAGTCCAAGCCAAGTCTAAAAATAATTTTTAGAAGCCAGGCGTTTTGACAAATTGGCCATCAGTAGACTCATAGAAATAAACAACAACTACATACTGTGCAAAAGAGATGACCAACAAGCCAAAAAGGGAGCAAAAAGATCAAAATACTCACCAAGACCATTGCCACCAACACTGACAGGGCAAACCACTAGAATGTAAACTGAGAGCAAGCCTTGCTCCCTACCAGTACTGATTATGTTACCTAGTTTTGTTAATGAAATGTCTGCAAGAAAATAATCAAATAACCAAGCTCAGAGAGAACCAAGAATCCTTCATTTTAAACCTGAGTTACAAACATTTTCCTTAATCAATCTATATCCAGATAGAATAATTTAGGCAGTATTATTTTAATTAATGTAAGATTTGTCTTATGTATGAATGGCAACATTTCCAAAGCTAACTCAATGAAGAAAATTAAGATGTAAAAAAACCAACACCATTCTAAATTCATCTTTAAGTATCAAAGTTTTTCCTTTAAATTTAATGTAATTGCATAAGGCTTATAAATGAAAATGCCACCAGGGGGCACATGAAGAACTCACATAAGCCATTTAAGATATAATATTTCTCTAAAAAAATCAGATCTGTTTCTGTTCAGCAGTAGCTTTAGTGATATATTTAATGAAAACCTTTTTAATATCTTCAAAATAATATATGATTTTAATATTTACTATTGATTTACCAGATTATAATTTGTAATGAAATAAATATTTTCTCTGCAAGATCATGCTTATTCAGTAATTTAAAGAAATTCACAAGGCTGCTGATGTTGCTGCCCCCAGGCAGTTGTCGGGGTGTGGAGCCATGAAGCCCTGAGGTAAGCCAGTATGCACATTGGACAGCCCCACCTCCCCCCACCTCACAGTAATGGCACTCAAAAAATTAAGACACTCCCCCAAAATAAGCCCCAGTGCTTATTTCAGGACCAAAAGAAAATAAGGCTGGGTCTTATTTTTGTGGAAACATGGTAGTTTCATACATAAAGTAATAGTCATAATTAACATGCTGAGTCAGAAAACATAACAACTCAACACTTTAAAGGATGTAATTTATACATAATTGCATCAATAACAAGGAACAGTAAATTAGATTTATTTAAGTCCCTGTCAAAATTATATTCATTCATTTATTCTTTAAATTGATAAATACAGGTAATCCTTGAGTTATGACAGTGATAGGGCCTGCCCATTTTGGTCAAAATTCAAGATGATCTTAAATGAATCAGATTATGTGAACATGCTCATATCCTGGTCCCCCCATTGCATATGTTAAATAATGCAAAATTAAGGGTGCATCAGTTGCTTCCCAAGGCCTGCTCCCATCCCTGAAATACCCCATGTTCTACTTCCCACCCTTTGGGGTCCTCATAGCCACCTTCCAATGGCTCACTTACCTTGTGAAGATCTGCAGAGCGCAGGAGGTGAGGGAAAGAAAGGACAGCAAGTCTCTCTTGTTGGACCATGTGGGGGAATTCCACTGGCATCTTTCTTTCTTTTTTCCATCCTCAGTGCACATTTTGAAACCTGAGCTGCTATAATTCTCTGCAAATGAGTCCTTTCCCCTCCCTCTGCATTGCCATTTTAACTCTTAACCCTGCATTGCTTGTTCTCCAGGTGGGAGAGACAGCTTAGGTGAACGGAAAAAAACCTTTTAGTGCATGTTTTGAAACCTGAGCTGCCTCTGCATACACGGGGAACAAAATATGCAACAAACAAAATACTCACCATCTTTATTTTTAAGTTAAACCTCTGGTTCCCCCAGAAGCTCCAAATGCATCCTTAGAGAATAGTAATGACAAGCAGTTACACTTAATTTTTATTATTTATTCGTCATCTATCTTGTGTTTCAAAGCAACTCTACTTAATTTTATTAGCTAATCTGATCCCAATCCAAGGAAAAAAAGTATTAGTAAGTTAAAGCAGGTAGAACACATTATAGGAAGAGGTAGTCTGGAAGAGGTAATAGGAAGTACCCTCATCATTTTGTCTTTTACTAAGTGTCATTTTTCACTGGCATATCCCTCAAGGTCTTTTTGGTAAGAAGCTTAACATTCCAAAGAGGACTGCCTATTCTAGTCATTAGCACATGCATTAAAAATTATGCAATTATTGATTACTGTGATCAGTAATATACAATACCATCAATGTATTACCCCTAAATTACAGCAAAGCAACAATCCTTGTTTTAATTTGTTAAATCAGTAATCCTTCCCTGGATAGACATTTCTATTTGAGTAATCCCACTTTTTAAGACAAGAATAGCAAGTCTGAATATGTGAGTTCCAGCTACCAGATTCTGTTCCACATTTCAGAAATGCCACATATACCACACAAGAATTCAGTATAAATCAACGTTGTAGAATTGGTATTTTCAAGGCTACTTTCCAAATGGTACAGTCTCCCGTTAACACAATATTTAATTATTGTGTTGGAAAGAAAAGAAAAGGTACAAGGACAGAAACCTATTTGGCTCTCATTTGAATGTAGAGCAATTTATTATTGTAGTTCCTGACAGTTCGAACAATTAATCAGTGGAACAACTTGCCTCCAGAAGTTGTGGGTGTTCTAACAATGGAGATTTTTAAGAAGACAACAATTTGCTTCAAATGGTATAGAGTTTTTTTACTTGAGCAGGAAGAGTTGGACAAGAAGATCTCCAGGATCCTTTCCAACTCTGTTATGCTGTTATTTGTAAATCAGACAATTATAATTCAAAATCTGCAGTTCCCTGTATTTTACTAGGGCATTTGCCAAGTATAAAAAAGTACATCAGAAATCCGTTTCTATAAAAATGAATATATTATGAAAACAATGTACAAAATATACTGTCTGAAGGAATATTGTGTGTACTTTTGCCTGTATACAGGTTTTGCTAACAAAATTTTAGCACATTTTAGAAAAAAAGTATAACAAAATATTCATATTAATGTAAGCTTTTTTTTTAAATGGTATTTGTAAAAAATGAAAGACTAAATGGATGTATCTACATATCCCTAGCTTATGTTGGCTATAATATTTTTAAATTACTCTCTCAGTGTGGCACAGTTTAAGATTAGCTTGTAGGATGTTCCTAAAGCTAATCCAATTTTATTGACTAAATATTGCCCAATATTTCAAATATTAAATGTAAGAGTTAAACAGGCTTCCATGAGCAGTATGGATTACTATATTCTCTGTACTGTAGGCAAGCTATTTGACGTCGGAAATTATTCCTAAACATTTTCCTGGGCGTAATATCCACCAATAATGCTAAGTGAGTCCCAAGGACAATGTTAAATGTCTAAAACAGGTAATGAATGCTCTGTTCAGACAATGGATGCAGACAATGTCGTTCATCTTCCTTTGGCTCTGCCATCTGTTAGAAGCTTTGATAGCAAGTGAAAAAAATAGGGTTGCCAGGTCTGCTTCCAAAAAATAGCAGACAAGCCGGGGGGGGGGGGGGGGGGGAGAACAAAAAAAAAAAAAAAAAAAAAAAAAAGGGGTGGGGGGGTGGGGAGAGTAGTAAAAAAATAAAAAAAAATTACAATTAAATTATATATTTTCTTACAAACATTTTAACACGTATTAAAATAATCACTTCAAAACTTTACTTAAAATTCAAAACATCAAATATATTATAATAATATGTAAAATATTAAATTACATTTTACTTTGCTGTCGTGTGTATTTTTTATTTGACTGCGCAGCTTTGATCAATTCTTTGTGTTTAAGGAATAATTCTTTAATTTCAGTACAACGTTGAGAAATATTAAAAAATATACAAAGTTCACTTCGAACTGATGGTACAAGCAGTTGGTTATGTTCGTCAGTCCACAAATTTCCCATGACACTGAAAATTCGTTCAACCTTTGCATTTGATACCGGAATTGATGCACAATACTGGAACAGTTTCAGTAAACTCGGAGCTGGCTCTTTCTTGAAAAAGTACGTCCACTTATCAAGGGATGAATTGCCCTGCAGATGAACATAAACTTCTTCTAAGGCAGAAATTTCATCGAAGAGAGTGTTGGGTGGAAGTTCTTCTTGCCATGATGATAATAACCAGATGTTCGTCATTTCTTCTAAAGTTGGAGGATTATTGCAATCAATTAGATTGAAACAACTTAACGTCTCATCTACTGAATCGGTGAAATTATACCACTTTTCCAGGTACGCAATGGCTCTTTGATACACGTTGATGGCTTCTTTCTTGAACTTTTGCACGGCATTCTCAGGCAAATGTTTTTTACGTAAGGCAAATAAAACTTTCATTCCAAAAAACTGCTCATCGTATTTTTTTTGCAAAGAATCACGCAGCTTACACATGATAATGTGAAGATCACAGGCAAGAATTTTCTTGCTTTCCAGCTTCAGTAGGGTGTCTTGCATTATTGACATGAAGAAGTGCGTGAAATATAAATACAATTCTGAAATTGTTGGTTCATCGTCCTTTGCGAGTTCATTTTCCTGATCCGAAATAAGGTTCCAGATAACCTTATGGCACTCATCAGATCCAAGAGAAATAAAATACGATTTTGGAGGTATCCAGTTTAAAAGAAGTCTTTCGACCGCTTTAAACAAACTTAATCAATGTGTTGGAACATGGTGCAAAACTTCATGGAATTCTGACTCGCAAAACTCAAAAAATGATTTCAACTCATTTCTTCGCAGAATTTGAAAATTCGGCAAAAATCTTCAGCAGTACATTTTCGATATCAAAAGATAACTGCTTTAATGCATTTTTTGCGCTGTTGTGTAAAATGTGATTATTGCAATGAGCAGCTACAATATTGTCATTTTCCAGCAATAATTTTTGGTAAACAGATTTGTTCACTCCATAATTGACCGATGCATTATCTGCTGAGTAAGCTGAAACATTATTTATTTCCAATTCGTTATCACTAAGAACTCGACACAGCTGATTTTTTATTGATGTAGAATCTTCGAAAGAATCCTCATAAAAGTCTAAAATTTTCACACACAGTCCTTCTTCACAAGTAAAATATTGTGCAACAACGGGATACATTTTGCGATTTCTCTTGTTTGATGCGTCAGTGGAGAGAGAAAATGGAATTCCAGTTTTAAGATCATTGAGAAGCAACTCAATAGAAAAAGAAAAACCTCATTGACAATAGCTGATGATTTGGTTCTTCCACAAGACATCTTTTTTACAATTTCTGAATCATCAAAAATTTGCTTCATTAACTTAATACCGCAATCTTGAGCCAGGAAAGAAATATGGTGTTTGATCCCATGGTAAGTTTCAGCCATTTCAGCTACAGTCACTTTCTCACTGAAAGAGGAGTCTTTAACAATGAAAAACGAATTGATTCGCTTGTTGCTGGAAGCTATTTTCTCCTTACCTAAATGATTTTTTGTGCTTGCATGCTGTGTGACAGCTTTTATACCATTATATTCAATTGTGAACGATTTCTGACACAATTTACACAAGCCGTCGTATTAGTTCTGTCGGTTTCGTTGTTGGTAATCCATGCAAAAGTAGCTTCCCAGTCTTTGGTATATTTGCACACTCCTCTCTTTCGTTTTAAAGAATTCGAAATCTCGCCGCTGTCACTCTCATCACTCGACGCCATTTTAGGTCAGTCGACACAAGCTACAATACATTTTAAAAATGTGAACTGTACATAATTTTATAATATATTTTTATTTTAATCTCATCATTAATTTTTTCGGAGAATCGAGTTCAATGGATATTCGATCTTTGTCTCATTCTAACTTATGAAAAAAAAGACAAAACGCGATTCTCCTTTCCTTATTCTCTTAGACTGTACAGCTTTAGATTACGTACCATTTCATCATAAAGCTTTTGAATACAAAAAATGTCCACTATTTTGTGAAAAAAAATAGTGAACATAATGTGAAAAAAGCAGACTGTTCGCTCAAATAGTGGACACCTGGCAAGGGTAGAAAAAAAATGGCATAATGTCTGCATCCATTATATGAATAGAGAAATTTAATTGGCCTTGCTTAAACTGAGATCATGGTAAAAATTTTTAAAAATCTGTAAATTCTTATCTATAGTTCAAATTGAGACCCAGATGGTCTTAATTGTGTGAATATTTACAAGACTTGAGCTTAATTTTATCACAAACTATAAAAGCATAAATCTCTAAACCAACACATGGTTCCAACATCTTCTCTAACAAGTCTCCCTTCTGTGTTTTAAAGAAGAGGGTACTAGGCAGACATTCATCAGACGCAGTTGTTCTAGTATGCTAATACAAAACATTGGTGGAAATGTTGTTTGCTGTGTATCTATTTAAAAAAAAACAGGAATCTGGTTATTAAAAAGACATTTCTTAGCAAACTATAGTACTCACACAACTGAGTTTTTCCCAGAATTCATGTCCTTTCTCCATCTTTCTTAGGCTAGGTGGAATATACCAGAAACAAATATTTGCATATTCTGGCTGAAAAGGTAAGAAAAAATAATCTTCAGTATATAAAAAGAAAATTGACCAGACTACTAAATCAATACAAATGTAAGAGTCCAAATGGGTAGAGAGCAATCTTACCTCCATTCACACACACACAAGTGCACACAAAAGTTTTGGTATCAATCCCATTAAATATTGTTAATCTAATTCAATATTTCTACATAAGATGATGATGGCTTGTATAATTAACCATTTGATAATTCCTGAGTAAAGTTTATATCTGTTAAATTTGTATCTTGCATTTTCAGCATGAAATGTAGTTCTATGCCATTATATGATGACTTATTTTAAAAAATTACAGGTGGACTTCCTGGGAACATGGCTAACTGAACACATGCATGGGAAGAGATCTCCCTAAAGTGTGGCTCTTCTGCCTTTTAACTGAAAGGACTGATATTTCATCAGTTTTTATGACCCACAAGGTCAGGGTGTGTCGAAGAACTTCTCCTCAGGACCCTTCAATAAAGCTGTAAACTGGCAGATTGCTTTTGGAGCTGAACTCTGAAGCTGTCTGCATGCCAAAAGCTGGGAGGGGAGGGGCTGCAATCTGTTTGGGGGCTGAAGAGAATTAAGACTATTATTCTATCTTGTTAATTTAAAAGAGACCCTTTCTAGCAACAGCTTTCTATACCTTTTTGAAGACCTGTGCCATTTTAGGGATTTTTTTTTTGTCTTAAAGAACAAGGAAGAAGGCTGCTAAGGCAAGCCAAATAAAGAAGTCGGGCCAAAAGGGGGGTGGGGGAACTGACGGAGAAAGATAAAGATTGAACCCGTGATTTTAGTTTACTATTGTAGTAACTGATAGCTTGATCTTCTCAGCTGTGGGTGGTTAAAATCTTCTGATTCTGATTAAAAGAGGAAGCCAAGATGGTGGAGCAAAATATTAGATATATTTGAAAGGTCTCTAAATAAAATACATCAATTTGTGGATCAGTTGTTCTCTGAGGATAAAAAAAGTACTTCTGAGATACAAACATGTGGAGAATGTTACCAAACTGCTGATCCAACTTCACAAGTAGCTGAAAATGAAAATTCAGAGGAGTTTATTGCTATTTTGGAAAAGTCGATATTAATTTTCATTTTTACCCTCACTACTTTGGTTCAAATGTAAACCACTTAACACAATTGAAAGAAGAACTTTCTTTCAAAACAGACAAATTTGGGACTTTTTCTTTAAGAAGATTAACAAGGTTGGGGATTTTGTGATAAAAAGAAAGGACTATAAACCTTTGATACTTCCAGAGAAGAAAAAGCTTTTACTCCATGAAGATAAGCTGGAAGGAGTGACTTAAATTTAAGGAGTTAACTGAATAAGAAGGTATTTTTCTCTGCTTGATATGTGCAACTGAAAGGTTTAACCCAAAATTTGCAAATGTATTTTTACACACACACACACACCATAAATATAATGTTTAAGCAACTTCTAGAGTAGGCGAAAGTTATTGAAAATGTATTTGAGAGTACTTGTATTAAGAAAAAGTAAAGAAAAGAATGTATCAGTTTAAAGAAAAACTCTATGTTAAAAAGGATGATTATAACAGAAAAAAATAATTATTCTATAAAGGTAGTTTGTAGGGAGGGAACTAAATGCAATACTGAAGTTTAAAGCTTGTATGTTAAAGTTAAAGAATAAGATGTATTAGAAAGTTTTGACTTAAAAGAAAAAAAGTGCCTTTTCCTTTTTTCTTTAAAAAAAGTTTAGTAACTTGAAGGAAAAAAGGAGGGTGAAAGGAAAAAAAAGATCTCTCCCTTTTTTTAGGCCAAAGAAATAATATAATAAACTTTGTAAATAAAAATTGTGTGTAGGAAGTTAGCACCCACCCCTCTCTAGGAAAATGAAATATTCTAGGAAATATTAAAAAGGCAGAATATTATATTTTCCCTAAAGGAGAAACATGTTTCTAAAGACAAACTCAGAGCCTCAGCTCCCTGCCCACCCCCAAACAGATATTTTGGTGCCAACCTATCTACAAGACAAAGGCTGGGCCACCTTATCTATAACACAAAAGACATGGCCTTCAGGACATGATAGGATTAGCCCTCTACCCATCTAGCAACAGAACTCACCACATGGCACCTGGGGAGATTACATCACCCAGCAAGATTTAACCAAGCTTGAGACTCAAGACACTACAACCAATCAGAATACAGGAACAGGAAACTCCAAGGCGAGGCCCAAGAGAGGGTACAAATCTCTCTCTCTCTCTCCCATGTGCTCTTTTTGCCCAGGATCTCAAACCACGTGATCCTGTCTACCATTAAAACCATCTTTCCAAGCAGTCTCCATGTTTCCAGTGTCTTTCCTCCCACTTGGAACTGAACCCAGATGGACATTTCTTCCAACAGGTGACAGTTTATACAGATTACTATGTGCTAATAGAAATACACATTATTTCCGTAGCAAGGAAGATAAAGCAGGAATGGTTAATTTGATTACTTTATTTAAAGAGGAAAATATGTTCCTATTTGGATATCACTTCTGGAATTTGTGCTTATGAAGAAAAAAATGAAACTTTGATCTTGGTTTTGTTGATTAGAAATATTTGGTGTTGTTATGTAGTGGGGTTGAGGGGTACCCCGGACTGTGAACCAGCTCATGAGCAAACACACTAGGACTGAAATAAATCTGACAGAGGCGTCTTGTGTAAAAATATAATTTACTTTAAAACATTTAAAAAGCACTATGTCTTTAAAAAAGCACATTAGTAACAAAGTCTTATCTTGGTTATGTGAAGCCAGGCTATCTCCCTAGATTTCTCTCCACAATACCGAAACAGTTCACAAGAGAAAAAGGTTAACATGACAATAAGCAGCTTCGGTGTCGATACATCATCGAGGTAGTAGAAGGGCGGCAGCATAAACTTCACAGCTAAAAAAGTCACCTGAAGAAAAAACAATTTCAATCAGCAAACATAGCTTGAAGCTTGTGGGAGGAAGAATGTCCAGCAGCAGCAGTTCTGATGATGGCTTGTGTGCTTCAAAACAGCAAAAGGCAAGCATCCGTACGAGTATCTCTGCAACAGCGTCTGGAGTCCTTATCTGTGTTCTCCTCCCTTCTGTAACGTTGCACTGAGCTCTGCATCCAGCTTCCAGCAGGAGCTCTGCATCTAGGCCTAAACAGCGTTTAGGCCCAAGTAGCAAGCGAAAAGGTCCTTGCTTATATGGGAAGTTAACCTGCAATTAACTAGGGTGGGGAAGGCTTTCAGGTAATTGCAAACAGGAGATGGCTTGATTGAAACCATACTGTTTGTGACTGATCAAGTAGCCACAGCAATCCTGAAAACACTCGTGACAGGTGTCATAGAAATAGCTAGTTAAATATTAATGTGTAAAAGCAAAAAGTTGAGGCTGGAGTGTGTTTATCTTGTACTGAGCTAGAAAGAGTTGGAAGTTAATACCCCCCTTTTCTTTCGTTTTCTCTTCCCTCTTGTTTTCCACACACCCTTTTCCTGTTCCCTTTCCCATCCTTAATTTCTTATTTTCTTTTCTTCTTCTTTTTTTTGTATTTTATATTTTATATAATAAAATTAAAAAAATTAAAAAGAAAAAGAAATTACAGGTAAATATAATAATGCAAACTGGGAAGAAAGAAAATATCCAAAACAATTTTTAAACAATAGTCTTTATGGCACATGTTCTTGCTTATACATGCATAACTTGTTCTCAGCCTTTATGAGGTTAAATCAGAATGGCAATGAGGAAAGAGATAGAAGGAATTAGCTAGAGTGTACTCTTCTATTTTTCTGAAAGTGAACACTAACTCAATTACAGTCCATTCTTCCTCCCAAATGGGTAGAAACTACTAATTATACTGAATTCTTTCATGAAAGGGCACTACCTCTATTCATAACATCATTTCTGCCTTCTTTCAAAGAATATATTAAATACATTTAATCATCAAGGAGAATCCAATTGTGAGCAGGAAGAGATGGCCATTGGCTGTGTCATTGTGTCATTGGCTGTGATGAAGTGTGTCATTGGCTGTGATGAAATAAAATGAAGTTAAACTTTTTCTTTAGCACATCCAGACTAAAGTACTGTATTTTTTGGAGTATAAGACGCACCTTTTTACCCCCCAAAAGAGGGTGAAAATCTGGGTGTGTCCGAATGTAGCCCTGCCCACCCACCAGCCCCCACCCTTCGGACATTTTCGACCTCTGTGCGTCACATTTTTGGGCAGTTCCAGGTGGCGGTGATCTGGGTTGGGGCACAGCCTGAGGAACGAGCCTCTTCGGGACAGTCTGGGGGGGGGATCTGCCCGGTGGAACAAGGTGGGACCCATGGTTCGCGGCTGGTCCCCCCTCTGGCCACCAATCAGGCAGCTCAGGGCGGACAATGGCCACAATGACTTCACTCCCCAGCAATGTGAGAAGCCGCCGCCGCCACCACCACCACCAAAGCCCTCTCCATGCCTGGGAGCCCCTAAAGCGAAACATCCCTCCTTTCCAGTCACTGCTGCCCGTTGGCCAGATGCAATTCGCAGAGCTGTGTTTCAGGCGGCGGCCGCACGCCGCATTTGTAGATTCGGGGAGGAAAGTGCTTAGCATAGCAGGGAAAGGGAGTGGGGGGGTTGATTGATTGTTTGAAGGGGAGGGGGAAGATGCACGCTTTTAATTTTGCATGTGCTGTGTTCAGTGTTGGAGGAGGAGAGGCGGAGGAGCTGGAGGTGCTGATGCTCTGGCCCTCTGTCCCCCCACCCCCACTCTCAGGCTGCCCTGGATAAGATCTCCACCATCAACCCCCCACTCCCATTCCCTGCTATGCAAAGCGCTTTCCTCCCCAAATCCACAAACATGGCGTGCGGGTGGTAGTGCCACCTGAAAATGCTTTCCTACCTAGTTCTCTGAAGCACATTGCAGGGAAACTGCCGCTACCTGAAACGCGGCTCTGTGAATTACATTGAGCCAGTGGGCGGCGGTGGCTGGAAAGAAGGGATGTTTTGCTTTAGGGGCTCCCAGGCACAGAGAGGGCTT